GCATATTGCTGGATGCTCCTTTTTACCGTACAAATTCAGTTGACGACCTAGCGTCACTGCTATGGCCCTTTCTGCCAATACCGCCGGCGAGCATAGTGTTTCGAGGTACGCAACAGTCTTCTTACCCTCTTTATTTGTTCGACCAACCACCTAACATATGTGCACGAAAATTACGTGAGCTGCAGGCTTTAATGAAACCTCCTTGATTCTCCAGTCTCTTATTCGCGTATGCTGGTAATCGCATACCACTGCATTTTCGTCGTCTGCGCTGCTATAAAACACCTGAACGAGCTGGCCTTTATTAATGATGAAGTTTTCATTTTGAATTTTTTTTCTGATTTGCATCGAAAATTTGTTTGGCACGCTACTTGCTGGAGAATTCCAAAAGTTCCTAGGTGAACAGGACCGTTCTGCGTGGCCCATTCGAAGGCGTGAAGTAATAGGAAAAGTGTTTATACGGGACAGGTCGAACTTGAGATTCTACACACGCTCATTCAGACAGGCTCGGACCCGAGCCGATTTTGGGAGAGTTCCGAAGCGCTTTCGTAGCAATCGAAAGCATTCTTGGGTGGTCAAGATATCGGCATTGAACACACAGGGTGGGCAAAAATTACGGCAACAAAAGCGTTCATGGAAAAGCAAGCTGTCTGCGTTTATACCTGAGTGAAGTCATCTCGGGAACGCATCGTGGCCTGTTGTGTAGGTAGGTGACATCGAGCTTTCCCTAGGATCTTCTTTAATTCATCGATGCTTTAGTGATACTTGTAGCAGCCCATCGTCTTCAGTAGACTCCACGGAAAATAACCCACTTGCTTTAAAATGGGAGAATAAGGTTGCCACCTCGTTCAATGTCATGAATTCGGAAAATTCTGCAAAACCAATGTTGCACAATATTTGCTTGTATACAGGCGGAAGTGGTGTAGTGGCAAGTGGCACGCTTACCACGCGAGCGGTCCGGGGATCAAATCCTGGGTCGTGAGTCGCCCGGGCCAACCAAGCCTTCCATCCCTCCGGGGTCGGTTAATTGGTACCAGACTTGTCTGGGAGGATAAAAACACTGACTTGTACATCGGCTGGCCCCCGCAAGTCATTGTATAGGCCACATCGCATTCAAACGCCACTACGAATGTACAAATGGAAGTAGAATGCGTGCCGCATCCCAAAAAGGGATTGATCAACGGCAAATGCTTTATCCTTTATCCTTTACAGGCGGTCTATCTTGCTGGTGTGTCCAGTGATTTCTCTCCGGGGTCTGTTCAGCCAGATGCATTTATTAGGTTCGAAGGAAATCGAGATGTTTTGTTAGCGCTCTTGTTACCGTAATTTTTGCCCACCCTGTAGAAATTCAGAAACATCGCTTCATTCCAGAGGCTTTACACGTTTAACATGGTAAAGCGCCTACTTTTGGGGTCGTGACAATTCAAAATTGGTGCAGTGGAAGTTTTGGGATCTACCAGAGCTCAACAAGCGCCTCGCTTTGACGATACGAGAGCGTTTGATATGCTGGGATACTAACCTATAAAAGCCGCCCAGCGATCTTAAACCCCAACAAGCTGCTCGTGAATGGGTCCGGAATGAACTTCATGTTACCTTCGAGCGTGCCGAAATGGTCTTCTCCCTCAGAAGACTTGAAACACTCTGCTAAAACTGATAAAAGGAAAATAGAAATTGATGGTTCATAAATGTACTGTATTAATTCATTACTGTACATT